CAATGGTTAGGACAGTAAGAGAGAAAAATCAGAATACAGGCCTCATGAGACATGCAGTTAAGATTTCAAAAATGACATTATGCTTCCAAAGGCCATAACTAAAATAAAACAGTGAGCATATACCAATGTGCTTATATACACTGACTGAAGGAGAAAGTGATCTCAGTAAGTCATGGACAAGAGTATGAACATCAAAGCGATGCTATACCATTACACTACAAGTATTTAATCATGTTCTTCAGTTTGTCCTGACATTGTCAGAATTTGTCAGAAAGGACAGTTGTAGTAACTGCTCAGTGCAATATATCATTCCTTTTTTATCAGATAAAGGTTTGGACATATACGTGTAGCATAATGGTTGATAAAAATGTTCATTTTTTCTAAACTCTTGTGGGTTACTGGAATGCCTACAATTCCTGTATCCTCCAGTTTAGCCATCTTAAAGTTTCTTGATCCACTTATGCAAGTTATACAAATCACATATAAGAAATAATGCACAGTATGCTTGCAATATTGAAATATGGTTTTAAAAATGGGAAAGATAAGCTGAATTATCAAAGAATTACTAGATACAAATCATTTTTTTACATCTGAAAACCAGGAAATTTTACCAAAAGTAACAATATGGGTATTCAAAGAATGAACTCTATAGTGTCTCTTCTTTCCAAAACTGGTTTGGTACATTATGTCAATCTTTAAAGGATTTGTATGAATATCCTTTATTGTATCCATAAGCTATTGTATCAAAAATTAATTATCTTACAAAAGTCAATGCTCCCCTGTGCAAGTTAATCTCACTGTGAATAAGCACTTATCAATTCTATATAAAGCTTTGATGCCTGATAGTTACACACATATAGTTACATACAGAGAGGAGGTGAGGGGCTACAGTTCATTCCAATTCTCCCCTGTCCTAATCATCTATGGAGCAGCAATACTCTACTGTTCCATTTGTGGACACATACACTGAGAACTTGAATGAGAACTTGAGTTCTCTCAAATTTCCTCATTGGTAAGTCCAGAATTACCTGCCTAGTTTGCTTTGTTCCTCTCTTCATTCTCCTAAACAACCCCTCTGCCCTTCAAAAGTGATCTATGGTCTTGATTCTATCCATTTACTCCTTTCTATGGATTATTCTTCCTAATTCTTTTTTTTTTTTTGACAGTGGTGTCATAGAATTACAATTTGTATTTCTTCATCCTCTTTGCTACTTCTATGGCTAGAAATATTTTCAGATATACAAAAAATTTGTTGTTTTCCCTTGGCCCTCTTTTCTCTTGAACTATTATGCAATGGCCCTTTGGCCAGATTTCTCTAAAGGGAAGTTGATATCCATCCACTCCCAATGGCCTGAGAACACGTAGCATTGGTATCACCCGAGGACTTACTAGATGCACAGGATCGCAGACCTCTGGAATCAGAGGTACGGTTCAACACCGTCCCCACCATGGGGTTTCATTACAGTGGAGAGGCTCTAGCCTATACACCAGGTCTCTTCCAAATCCCATTACCTAATGTAAACTTTTCAGAATCTAGCATGGAGTGTCTCCTCATCATGACTCCCAAATTGAATAAGAAGTCATAAGGTTTCTAAGGGCTTTTAAATGGGCTATGACTTCCCTGACCTCTCCATAATGAATCTTATTCCTTTTATTTTTTTCATTGCTCTTATTCTGGATATACTACATGGTGAAATAGAAACTTTCAAGAGTGGCAACATTTTTTTTATATAATTCTGCAGCTAGAATTGTACCTTCATGAAACAAGGTACAATGGAAAGCACGTGTATGGCTGATCATATCTATTTATATTTACCTGTCATAAATAAAACCCAGCTCTGCATGATCTAGTATTTCAATCCTCGATGCACTTGCAGCATTAAGAAAATAAGAAAAGTGGAATAATCCTGCTCCCCTTCATCAAGATTTGGTACTGAAAGCTCATTTGACATCCTTACACTTCTTATACTTTGCTCCTCCTTTTCCTAAAGAAGTCATTATTTTCCCACCCTGCATACTTTGTTTTTCCTTTATTCCGTGCATTATTCTTCTTATTCTTTACTCTTTCTGCTCCTCTTTGTTTTCTAACTTCCCTCAGACATATAATAGCTTCAATGGAACTAATAATTCTCCTTTATTGGATCTGAAATTCACCCTGTAGTTGACAATCAACGTAAGTAACTTATTACTATTTTACTTGTGTTTTTCCTTACTGCATAGTGAATACGTAAATTTCTTTGGCCAGTAGAACATAGTAATGCTCTGGTTTTAAATATACATGTTGTCAGATGGCTTTTCTAAATATGCACACACACACACACACACACACACACACATGTGCACATTTCTTACCTTCTCCTTGTGTATTTCCTGTATGGTTTCCTTTCTCATCTGCAACTCCAGATAAATGATCAACAGGCTTCTGTGGAAGATTCTCAGAGATACTCTGATTAAATTAGAACATCAGTATTAGTACATCAGTACTAATGGTGCACAAATATTTCCTAAATATTTTTATGAAAACATCTGATTTTTCTATTTTAAAAGCAGTTAGAGCAAGGCCTGGTGGCATATGTCAGTAATCACAGCAACAGGAAGCTCAGACAAGAGGCATGCTGTGAGTTGAATGTGAGCCTGAACGACATAGTGAGACATTGCCTCAAAAAGCCAAACAAGCAATTCCATTTAATAATGGGAAGCATATCCTGAAAACCAGAACATTTCAAAGAGAACCTCCTGTCAAGCCCATGTTGTATCTCCACGTGGGTCACACTGTTAAACAAGCATGGGAAGCCACAGGAGAGATTCACAGGCAAAATCCTGTCTGGTGTCCATTATTTCTACCTGGCTTCAGAATACCTAACTCTACTTTGCATTCCCCAACAGGGATAACATTCTTTTAAAGTACAGGCTTCAATTAAAAGATTTTAAACTATAAGAGGTTTTTATGAGTGTGTGTTTGTGGTATATCACACTTGTTTTGGGGAACTGGTACATATGTTATCATTTCTTGATCACCTTTGCTCCTTTATCCCCTGATCCCCCTTTCCCTTTGCTGATAAAACCGATTCTTGGGAGTGCACTTGTTATAATTCAGCATTCAGTATTGCTAATCACAGAAGTCATCTTAGTGTTTAAATACTTGTCAAGCTAAGAAATTTCAGTGTCTCCCATTGAGTACAAGTAACATTGTAGAAGCTGCTTCATTTATGTAAACATGGGCTCAGGGGAAAAACATCTAATGTTTTAAGTAAAAATTTTATTGATAGGAAAAATGGCTGAAAATAGAAAAATAAGTTAATGTTATATTGAAACAACAATACGCAAATATTAGACACTGCATGCACCTCTTTCCAAATTAAGAACTTCAGGAAAGTATAAAAAGCCTCATTAAAAAGGGCAGCATAAGAACTTTTATTTATTACATTTCTACAATGTTCCAAATTCTTATTTATACACTTTCTGGACAGGTGTGGCTCACTGCTGGCTCTGTCCAGAATATCCTCATACACTTTGGCACAGGTGGCTTCTCCTCCTTAATTTGGCAACAACTCCCTCTCTTTCCTATCCTACAAACAAAACCCTTCAAAATTCTCTAACCTTCCCAGGCAATGCAGCAGCTTCTTATCACTAAGCGATTAGGCCTTCCCCTCAATGGTCCTCTTAGAATAAGTTTTCATTATTTACACTTTTGTCACTAAAGGAATGGCTGCCATACAGGGGGTGCATTTCACATTCAATATTGGTTTCTGTTTTTTAAATATAATGAAATCAAACTGTGATTATAATCCCATGTACTGACAACTCCTCAATCTCTTCCTTCTCCTCAATTGTTCCATGCAGATCTATAATTGTTGGGTTAGTTATTTTTCTCTCCTGTTGAGACAAAATACCCAAAACCCGGATCCTACAGCTAGAGGGGAAGGGGTTCGTTTTGCTCACAGTCTGTAGAAGTCGCAGTCCATAGTTGGCAGGCTCCAAGGCAGGGATGGCAAACAGGCATCACAAAAGAGAAACAACAGGGCAGCCACAAGGTAACAAAGGCAACAAGGGACCTACACCCATCTTCTCCCTCTTTTATCCCATTCAGACTCCTGGGATTACAGCAGCACTACCCACTCATGGGTAGTGCTTTGGTAATCACATGGCTCTGATCCCAACAGCACACATTCCAGATTCTGCTACTTCTGACTGAATGAGGTTTCGGGGGGGACATCCAGACTCCAACCATAACAGCTGGCAATCCAAATACAGTAACACTTTCAGGTCCCCTTCATTAAATTTTCAAGTTACAAGCTGTACAAATTATGATCTAAACATTGTCTCTGAATTTCATTCTCCAGAGGCTGACCAAGAATAATTCTTTAGCTTTTAGATCAACTTAATTTCAGAATGCAAGCTGATTGCTTGTGACATCTAAGACTTAATTTTTAACTGCCCTGGCTTCATTAAATGAATCCTACAGATTAGCAGAAATGTACTATGTAGCAGTAACATACATAGACTTCATTCATTCCTTCATCTATTGGATGAGGGATTAAACTCAGGGTCTTCAAACAGATACAACCCTAATCCTCTTCACGTTTTTTGCAAGAGTAAATTGCTAGCTTGTCTAGGGTTCGACAATGTAATCCTCCTGCTTCAGCCTCCCAGAGTGCTGGGATTTTAGACATACATAAGTTTGTCTGAGAGATTATTTTATTGCCTATGGTTTAAAAAATATGAGGAAATGATTTCTTACAGGCATATGCAGAGGTGAGATAGTAAAGTCCGATTATTCTCCTCTATATTTAAATCTCATTTAATGCTTACTAAAAAAATTATAAAAAATAGACAGTACCTCTGAATCCTGAGGTGATTTATCATCTTTTCTTAATCCCAGTGGCAACAACACATCTATAAAATGTAGCCACAGACACATTAAGGAGAACATTTACTGCTGTGAATTTTAAAGACATGTACAAATCTGTCTGCATTCATGAATGTTTCAATAAGATAAAAGTAACAGTGAGAAAGAATTTCAGAGGGCCGAAGCAGTTGGGGGAAGAAGTTGGTGGTAGGAAAATAAAAAAAAATAAAAGAAATGGGCATCGTGTTTTGGATCTACACACTTTTAAAATAATAGGATATAAACAAGACACTTTCAGAAATATTCACTAACTTACCACTTTTATCCTTTTTGCACCCTCTGCCTTTACCCTCTGCTGCTTTTCTGAACAGTGAAGCTGTTGATTCTTCCTATATAGATAGATAAAGAAAAATAATGGATCACTGAAAAACACACATAGAAATAACAAAGCAAAAGAAAAGCACAGACTTAAACATTCGCCCACCCACCCAGAAAGTCAGTAAAATGGAAAAAAATCACAAACAAATCAATTAAATCAGTGGGGTTCCTCAGGAGAAGTCAGAACTGAAAACACATTCTTCTCTATGTGCAAACAGGTGCAGAGATATATGAAAACAGGAACAGAAAAAGTGTATTTCATTGATTCTACAGCTGGGGCCCAAATCAAGAACAGTCAGTTCTACCCAAGAAAATCAGGAAAAGCCACACGCCTTTGGTCCTATTTTGAAAGGGAGAGGAAGTGGGCAGGAAGGGTATGAAGACCACTCCAGACTGGGCAGCATAAACAAAAGGATGAGGCACAAAACAACAGAGCAAGGGAGGGATGCCCAAGTAATGGGACAAAACTGGAATGCAGTTCCTCAAATGGACGGACAGATAAGACAGGAGCGTCAGGGGCCAACCACACAGCACTTGTCTCAGACTAGAATGGGATCCTTGCCCTCTGTAATGGCAAACCCATATTCTTCAGAAACGGCCACCTTGGCAACAGTATAATGAGTATGTAGCAGTATAATAAGCAGTAGATGAGCATGATGGGGGAGGCAGGAGAAGAAAAGGGTATTATTTCAAATTGATAGGTAAGAAAATGAATGCAGGTGTGAAAAATCTGTGAGCAGGTAGGAAACACAGAAGGTGAAAGGCTGGGTGGATGATCAGGCCAATGGCTTAGGCCCATGTCTTCAGAGATTCAGTGTCATTTATTAATAGCCAGGGAATAGTCAAGGTCAAGTTCTTCATGGTGGAACATCAAATTTGAGGGCCCCAGAGGACTTAGAAAACAGGACTGAGTATATATTTGGAGAAGTAGTAGATGACCTTATTTGAAAAGCATATTGGCTCAGGAGGATATGTATTTGTAAAATACATTAAACTGTAATAAGACTATCCTACACAGAAGTCTGAAACTCTTGAAATGAAAGCAAAAGTGGCAAAAATTGGGGGTATTTAAGCTTTCCGTTGTATACATCAATATTTGATTTAAGGAGGTAAACATATACTGTTTTTAATATATGCAAATATTTATTTCTGTGATATGCTAGTATGAATTTTTAAATTTAATGAATAGGTTTAATTCTAAAACACCAATTTAAATTTTTTGCAAAAAAATCCTGTTTAAAAGCCAATCTCGCAAGTTTTCAATGTAAGTCAGGCATGGTGATGTGCACCTGTGGTCCAACCATGTGAGAGGCTCAGGTGGTATGAGCACTTCACCCCAGGAATGTGAGGGCCACCTGGCAAGCAAGAAGAGGCCCCATCTCATAAAAGAAAAACAGGGAGCTTGCAACTTAGCTTAGTGGCACTGCTCCTGCCTTGCACGTGCAAGGTCCTGTGTTCAATCCCTGGTACAAAAAAAAAATGTAGAAGAGAAATGCTGATGTGTTTATAGAATTAGGCATTTTTAAGAAAAAATTGTAAAACCCTATTTTAAAAATTCATGTTGTTTTTCTGTTCCTCTATAAACAGCATATATCAACAGCTCTAATTTCCTATTCATACTATATGGGATGGTAGTTAAAAATTAAGGAAAGGTTGCCACACATTGTGCCACATGTTGGTAATCCCAGCACATTCAGGAGGCAGAGATAGAAGATTACTGTGAGTGTGAGGACAGCCTGGGCTACATAAGGAGCTCTAAGTTTGCCTGAACTGCATAGCGAGATCCTGTCTCAAAAACCAAAAATCCAAGAAAGGATCTAGTATAAAAATATAAAACCATCATTTTCAAGATTGAAGATTGCTAATTCTTCAAGTATTTTTCAAATACTCTTCAAATACCTGTCAATCAGGACTCAAAATTCATATAAAGAAGGGGCTAAACTAGCTCATCAGTAGGATTCCTGAGTTATAAAATGAGAAAATTTAAGTGGAAGGCTTAATAACTATAAATATTTAGGATGGAGTGTATCAAAGCCATTGCATGTGGTGGACTTGATCCTAAGCACCAAAGTGGGAAAATCAAATCCCAAAAAGCTATGACTATTGAATTGAATAATGCTTCTTTAGAATAGCATTAAATATCCCCATTGCTGAAGGTATTTTAAAAATTTTCAAACAATCATATTTAAGAGATAATTAGCAATATTTTTTTTTCCTGGTGGTTCTATCATCACGGGTAGCTTATTTTAGCAAAAAAAAATCACAAATTGTGATTTCATTATTTGATGTATCCATATGCATGTCCACTACATGAAGAGATTATTAGAAGATAAATCAGAATCATTCCAGAAATAAATTTCTTCAAAATTTTTCCCTTTAAGAAAGATACAGCTTGCAGTTTGTCATAGCTATATCTTGGAAACAGCCTAAATACTGATCAACTAAAGAATGGGTAAAGATGTGAATTTTTATATATACATACAATGGAGTACTACTCTGCCATAAAGAAGGATGGTCTTCTGACATTTATAGCTCAATGTATAGACCTTGACACCATACACTCAGGTGAAATAAATTGGACACACACGTTTAAATAACACACTGTTTTTCTGCTGTGAGAAACCAAAAGTGGAAATAAGAACTAAAATGTATAACAAATTATTAGGAAATGTGAAGAAATATTCAAATGGCAATGGGAACTGGGGACACAAGTGAGGGGGGAGGCAGAAAGGAAGGAAGCAACAAGCAAAAATGTGCAAAAAATGGAAACAAAGATTTGTATATAGGGAGAGAAGGGGTCTTGAGGTGGAGGGAATGGGAAAAAGTGGTAGGATGTAGAGTGTGCAGGTGCACATTCCCTGTGATGATTGTTATCATTATATGTGCATGAAGTGCACAATAAATGTTTTGCTATAAAAACGTGGTGCTGCTTAAATGTATTTTCTCATATAATGGA